GTTGTAAGTGCGCAGACATGTCGCTGTGCCACTGGGAGGTGGGGGTAAAGTTAAGAAGATGATAAATAATATTGGAAGAAACACACCCTGAATCTATTTTTCTTAATGTCAAATAACGGTTTATTGACCACATAGTTTCCACAAGACTTCGGTTGTAGCTAAGCTAGAAAACTAGAATAAGTTTATTGATAAGAAGCTCTTAGTTCTCTAATTGATTTCTTTCTTCAGATCGTTAAAAAAGATCAAACAGCTATTATCTAGAAGCAATTAGTTTGATTTTTCATTTAAGGTTGTTAAATAAAAAAAAACGTTATAGAATATACTGAGAAGTAGTTACCGGAAGACTTTATGGACAGCTCTAGTTTTGATAATTCTAGTGATCGATGTTTTGTTCTTTATCTCTTTGTTGAATTTCGAGCAGAGTTACAAGAGGGCTGTCTGCGTTAGTTGTTCCTAATTTTGAAGTGATAAACTAGAGAGAAGGCAGCTAGCCAGCGCCAGATCATGGGCTAATCCTGTCAGACCAAATAGTGGGGATGTGTCACTCGGCCTCACCAAGTTAGATACTGATTTATACGACGATTCAAAGCGAAATAAGAAGCAAGCAGTTCACAAAAACTTCTGGTCGTAAAATGGCAGGTTGTTTGGTACAAATAAATTTGGCCCGGCATGGCCAGGTGGATAGGGCGCTCGACTCGCAATCTGCAGGTCGAGGGTTCGAATCCCCGTCACACTAAACATGCTCGCCCTTTCAGCCGTGGTTGCGTTATAATGTGACGGTCAATCAAGCTATTCGTTAGTAAAAAACTAGCCCAACGTTGGCGTTGGGTGGTGATGACTAGCTGCCTTCCCTCTAGTCTTACACTGTTAAAGTTGGGACGGCTAACGCAGATAGTCCTCGTGTAGCTTTGCGCGAAATTCAACCAACCAATAAGTGAATTTATTGTCATCTTATGGTGTTATCTTATATTGTTATCATATATTGTTATGTTATATTGTTACTTTATATTGTCATCTTATATTGTTATTTTATATTGTCATCTTATATTGTTATTTTATATTGTCATCTTATATTGTTATGTTTTATTGTTATATT